TAATTAGAGATAAGGCATGCTTACAAATTCTAAGATATAAAACTTTACAAACCTATTTTATTCATATTTTTTTACTTTGACATTAAGAGTAAAACAATGAACATATTGTAGCTATGTTATCTTTTTAATTGCACCTAACCATAAGGGTCTTTACATTTTTGTTAGTACTGTACATTTTAAAGCTTAAAATTTTCATTATCACAAAACAGATACAACTAGCTAAATTAATCTATATCTAGTTTAGAAAATAAAAACAAGATAGAATCCTTACTAAAATATATACTTTCCACAGTTCAAGAATTATGCCAGAAGACTTAAAAGATGGGAAAATTGCAGAAATGTGTACATTTCAAAAGTTTGCAGGATTTATAGAAATCCTGCAAACTAAATGTATTTTGAAGTTAAAATTTTATTAAATTTACTAATGTTTTATAATTTTAAAACATTTACCACACACAAAGATAAAAACACAATCAAAAAAGAAAAATTATCTAACTACTCAATGTTTCAATAAGAATCTTATCAACTTTCAACAACTGATTTCTTGCAGCACTATTTTTTTTATTTTTATTTTTTTTAATTAGAAATCATTTTTAACTGGTGATTATCTGAGACATTTTTGTCTACGTAGGGTATCATTGTTTAAACATTATTTTAAATGTTCATTTTATAAGAGTTTACTGAAAATTTATCTAGCAATGCTGAATTATTAGTAAGTTTGAGACAAAGACCATTAAATGTAATCAGCAGTATTCATTTAACACAAGTAAGCAAGGTCTTGGGATAGAAGATTGTGTACATATACAATACCACACAAAGTCTTTAGCCACTAAAGCATTGTAAGTTTCTAATGATTGCCAGCTTTTGCATGGGTTTCTATTGATTAAATATTGACATGGAGCCAGTTCAACACCTAATTACTATATTTTGAAGGTAAGAGCTCGAGGGAAAAAAAAAAAAAAAAAACTGTGCAAAAGGTTTTTGCCACCTGGCATTTTTTATGTTAAAAAAAGTGCCCAACAGTGGAATGGTGGCTAATAGATATTTTTTTTGTAATAACACTGATTTTATTCCTCTTAATATAGTGAAAATTCTTAAATGAAATTCCTTCCTTTCACTGCCTAAAATAAACAAACCAAAATGAAGATAATGAAGATGACCAAGAACATGAATCAGTGATCAATAGCTGAAGAAAAACAATAAACAGGATTTCAAGAAGTGGCATTTCAGAAATCCCTCCAAAGTTTCAAGGCACTGCAAGAGTTTCAGATCAACTAAAAGGTAGTTGTCTTCAAAAACTGCACCATAGGATGGTATAGAAACCGATCAGGACAGCAAAATCTCAGCCATGAAAAGATTGCAAGACAAGTGATGGATAAGTGCAACTTATGTTTTCAGTAGATGCTGCAAAGTGTATCCTTTGAGAATATTGACCGAAGGGATGCATTTCAGCTAAGAAACCAGCATCAAACAAAAAGCATTTGAAGGAAAGATTAAGTAGGTCAAAGTGTATGAATTAACAGATGCAGATGTTTGGAAGAATATATGCAATGATGAAACTAAGATGGACTTCCATTATGAAAACAGCAAAGTTTGATGAATAAAGTCTGCTGCTTTGGGGATACATAAAAAGTGATAGTTCAAGAAGGTTGATAAAAACTGACTGTAGCTTGAATTGTATCAAAAGCATCAAGTTGCTGAAGGACAATTTGGAAGATAGCGAGACTTTCTGACATGCAGCTCTATGCCACAGATCACGTTAACACAATAGTCTGGCTGATGAAGGTGCCCTTGTATTGAAAGATTGGACAATTCAGAGCCCTCACTTAAATATAATCAAGCAAATGGGGACAGAATTCAAGAGTTTGCTATGCACACAATCTTCAAGATATGTGTGTGTGTGTGTGTGTGTGTGTGTGTGTGTGTGTGTGTGTGTGTGTGAGATTTCTCAGCTACACAGAAATGCAAAGATGGTGAAAGATTTGTATTCATCCTTTCCCAGGCAAACACAAAAAATTATATAAACTAAAAGGAAGCCACTGTCCTGGACACCTAACCATGGAGCAAGACAAGTTGGTCACCCAGCTATGTTATGATGTTATGACACAGAATGCATCCCTAATGACCTCGATGTAAGGTCGTGATGGTTGGCACAAAAGACTCATGAATGTCCAAGCTAACTCGACAATAAAATAATTAACTTCTTTAAATAAACATTCATAAATTTATAGATATTTTTTTCTATTTTAAAACACTGTATATTGCTAGATTAATGTGATGTAACTGAAAAACTTTTGCATGGTCATTTTTAGGGGTTGTCTTGCATTTTCCTCTCATTCAAAAACCTAAAATTATGTGATAATCCAGTATAGAAATGACTCCAATTGGGTAAATGTTTCATAAAAAAAAAAAAAAAAAAAAAAAAAAAAAAAAAAAAAAAAAAAAAAACACCCACTCGTAAGCTTGCAACCAATAGAGATTTACAATGGTCTAAAGTGGTTGAAGACTTTTGTACTGTATTGTATTAAATAAAAATAAGATTTCTAGTCTCAAATATTGTTTGTGTGCATATGCGTATCTCAATACTGAACAGTGAAAACTATAAATATTCTGTATCACAATCAAGCAGACCTAACATACTTCAAAATTAAGTGCCATGATCAGATTTAATAGAAGTATATATTAACTGCAGATGACAAGAATTTCCAGTAGTTTTGTGGCTCAGTGATGAAAATTCCTGCCAAGTAAATGGGTATAAGTTTTAGAGTGAGAGAGGGGGAAAGAGAAGGGGCACACAAAATTTTAAATTCCAACCCAATAAGAGTAATATAAAAGTCATCAACCTAGGTAATTTGATGAAATATACATAGGAAAATGTAACTGCAAGTGACAAAAATGGAATCCATCCAAAAGTTCTGATAAAGTTATAATAATATATCATTGGCACCAATTATCCACACTGGTTATTGTATCTGTCACTGCTATTATACCAATAAGTATAACAAGATACCAATATTAACTTGCATAAAGTCTTTTTTTTTTTTTTTAAACTTTCACTGCTGACTAATCAGGGTTGGAAAAGACAAAAACAAAAGAGCAATGTACAGCTCTTTAAAAAAAACTTGAAACATCACCATACCCAAAATGAAAATACAGATTGGTTTGTACATAAAAAAACAAAACAAACTATAATTACAAATAATTTTGAGGTCTCAGACACGTCATTCAAGCCATGGTTTACATTTATATGCAAGTCAGATTCTTATAAAATCTAGTTAATGAGATCTGCTCATATTTTACCAAAGTTATCCTTTGCAATGTATGCTTAAAGATAAAAGCATTAAATAACTCTTCTAATCTGACATTTAAACCATAAAGACAATACAGATACTATTGTTTTTATAATAAAAATCTCATAATTTAAGATGTTGCTTAATGAATGAGCTGTCAGTAAATGACTAGGATGATGCAAAAGTTAAACAAAAAACAAACATTCATTTTAAATTCTTACAAGTTTATAAAAAAAAAAAAACTATTTTATAATAAATTGACTAGAAAGGCATGAAAGAAATCAATACCATTAAAAGTTGCATTCAACTGGAAAACATTTTTAAGTAGTAAATTCAATTGGTTAATTTGCCATCTAATTTTTACTGAATGTTCCGAAACAAATTATTTAAGTTTCTTGTAACATTTGTCACATGATCAGATGTGAGCACCATGAGAAACAGGTTTGTTACCTTGTCAAGGAGGTAAAAATTAAAGATTTAGAAATCCAGGTTTTAGAAATAATTTTGCAAAAGAAAAGGAATAGATTTTTGCTTTAATGAAAGCAAGATTAACTGTTAACCTTTTGAACCCAAGTGGCCAATATACCAGCCACTGTATGAAAGTGTACATATCCGAGCAGCCAGTATACTGCCCAGAGTCATGGACAGCAAGGTGGGTGTGTGTGTGTGTGTGGTGGGAGATCTGTACTCATTAGGGGGTCAGGGTTCAAAGGGTTAAAAAGAAAATAAATAAGAGACCAATAAAAGCAAACATGGCAAATATTAACTTTAAAAGAATCTTCAGATCAAATGTGAAACTGATGAATCTAACAACAGTAACAGTGGAAAAAATATTTTGCCAATGAAGAAATTTTGTGGGCTACACACATAGACAAATGGGGAGGGGGAGCTTCTCAAAGTCATCTAACAATGAGCACCAAACAAAGAGATAAGATTACTTCTATTGCTTTTGAAAACTAGTTCAAGTTGATGAAAAAATATCATGCTTGACATTTCTCTCACAATGAATATAATCAGGAAGAGACTATTTGTGGAGATTCTTGAACAGTTGTTGTATAAAGTTCCTCAAGATTCTCAGGACTATTCTCTGGCTTACCAGTTGGTGTGGTTAGATCAACTGATTTACTATGAAGGTAAAATTTGAGGTGACTCAGTTTGGGAGGTAAACTCATTCGATGCCAGTCATTTTTGTGGAAGTGATCAGAATGTGGAGTTTCAGCAGTTGATGTGGTGATGAAAGTATCATCTGAAAAATCCAAAGTAAGTAACTCCACTTGATCATCATCCAGCATTTGTCCTGTACTGGCTAGACTCTCTGTGTCAGAATCATCCAAGATCTCTGAAGCAGGGGAGGGGATTTTCAGAACTGGACTGCCTTCAGGACCTCTTACATATTTTGTTGGAGTGATGCATGGCTTGTTAAGAATTCCCATTTTCCGTGGAGATGCAGTGCTGGATTGTGAATTGAGATTTTTAATATTCTTTGGTTGTGATTCATTAGTTGGAGTTTCAGGAGAAACATTTTTGGGGTGGGTAATATTAGAAACTTTGCATGGATAAACATTGTGCATGTAAGGATCCATACCAGTGTCCACTCTTAAAATAATACCTTTTAACTTTGATTTTCGCAGACCAGATGGTGATCCAACAGTCACTTCTGAATTAGGTCGATGAATTGTTGGTCCAGTTTCAGATCTGCTTTTACCAAACATCCGGAGCATAGGTCGCTTTTCAGAGACTGCAGTAACTTCTGTGACAGCCACTTGGTTGTCCTGATGGTAGGGCACATGATTTGTTGTTGTAGTGGTGGTGGTGGTATTAGTAACAATGGTGGGTTGAGGCATGTAAGTATGCTCTAAGACAGGTGTGGAGAATTTTTTAAAACTGAAATTATTCTGACTTCTTCCTTTTACTTTGTAGTTTGGTTGAGTCATATATTCCTCTTCCAAACTTGGGGCATCAAAATCCTCATCAAAATCAGTTGGACTTATGCTTTCTGATGTGACACTTGGAGAAACTGCTGTATTGCACTCAATGGCCTGCCTGTAACTGAGGCGCCGTGCCTGCTCAGGTGAACTAAAAATTACAGATGGAGCCACAAAAGAGCCTTCAGATTCATCACAATTGTCTTTAGATTGGCTAGTATCAAAGTCCAATTCAATGGTTGTTGGAGAGGTGGTTGTCACAGAGAATGTGATTTGTTCTTTACTGCAACTTTGTTGGTAGGTGGTGGGTGTAGTCAGCACATTGGAGCTGTATGTACAAGTGCTGATGTGTGGAACAACTGTGCCATCACCCATCTCTGCCTCCTTTTCATGGCTTGGAGGAGGAGAAGGCGTTTCAGATCCAACCCCTGCACTACGCACACCAAGCTGAATATGTTTGCGTTTCTCCAAACGACGTTCATGGATTTCATCACTGATTGATTCTAAGTTACGTAACGCTTCTGCATATGCAGCCTTTGCATTGATTACTTCAGCTTCAAGATGGCTCACCCGTTGCTTTTGTTCCTGAAAAAAAAAAAAAAAAAAAAAAAAAAAAAAAATTCAATATTCACTGTAGTAAAGGTAAGTGTAAAGTAAATGAAAAGACTGGAAGATAAATCAGTCAAAATATGTGATAAAAGTTAAGACAACAAATGAGGAAATTGACCTGAATGAATATAGGTATAATAGTAACAACAGTGTTTTGAGTAAACAGTGGTGTTACTATTATGCCTATATTCATTCAGATCAATGTGTGTCTAATAAAAAACCTCAGCTTTCAGTAGCTTCAATCATCCTTAACTTAAAAAAAAAAAAAAAAAAAAAAAAAAAAAACCCACATGCACTCCAAAATATAAAAATAAGCAATATAAAATTCTCTTTCTACATCAATGCCAGAAGAGTTCACTACCTACAGATGGGCAATTTGCTCATTTGTGTTGAATGGGCTCTTAGGGATATACATTGTGATTTATATATGTGGATAAATAAGTGGTATATACTGATTTTTAAAATCAGTATGTAAATGAAGCACTTAATTTTTTTTTATATTTCTTCCATCTCAATTTTAATTTGTCTTTTTTTTTTTTTAAAATCACAACTACTCAGATTGTCATTGATACAGAGCACAGCTCAAAATAAAGCTACTCTCTGATTCCAGTCAGTGATGATGACCATACTGAGTAGTTGTGATGATTGTTTTTCATTTTTTTGTTTGTTTTTAGAGAAAAAAAAAAAAAAAAAAAAACTTACATCCATCAGCTGATTAAACTTCACTTTCATTTCAAAGTAAGGTCTACAAAATAGAAAAATTAAAATTAGCACATAAAAATTGAAACAATTTCATCAGTAAAAAGAAAGGTAAAAAGAAAAAAAAAAAAAAAAGTAAAAACATAAAAGAAAAGTAAAGTAAAGTAAAAACATAAAAGAAAAGTAAAGTAAAGTAAAAACATAAAAGAAAAGTAAAGTAAAGTAAAAACATAAAAGTAAAGTAAAGTAAAAACATAAAAGTAAAGTAAAGTAAAAACATAAAAGTAAAGTAAAGTAAAAACATAAAAGTAAAGTAAAGTAAAAACATAAAAGTAAAGTAAAAAAAAAATAAAAGAAAAGTAAAACACAGTAAAGAAAAACATAAAAAAGTAAAAAAAGTAAAAATAAAAAAAAAGTAAAACATAAAGTAAAAACATAAAAGTAAAGTAAAGTAAAAAAATAAAAGTAAAAACATAAAAGTAAAAAAAAAACATAAAAGGTGGGGTAAAGTGGGGTAAAAAAAAAGTAAAACAGGGGTAAAAAAAAACAGTAAAAGTAAAAAACAGTAAAGTAAAAAAGTAAAACATAAAAGTAAAGTAAAGTAAAGTAAAAACAGTAAAGTAAAGTAAAGTAAAGTAAAGTAAAAACAGTAAAGTAAAAACAGTAAAGTAAAAACAGTAAAGTAAAAACAGTAAAGTAAAAACAGTAAAGTAAAAACAGTAAAGTAAAAACAGTAAAGTAAAAACATTAAAGTAAAAACATTAAAGTAAAAAAAATTAAAAAAAAAAAAAAAAAAAAAAAAAAAAAAAAAAAAAAAAAAAAAAAAAAAAAAAAAAAAAAAAAAAAAAAAAATAAAAAAAAGAAGAAAAGGAAAAGAAAAAAGAAAAAGAAAAAAGAAAAGAAAAGAAAAGAAAAAGTTTAATTTGCATGGCCAAAATTCACAAGTGCCAGACAATTCTCAAAGTCTACAAAGTCACACCTTCAAAATATGCTCACTTCTCAAAGAAAAAGAAAAGAAAGATGTCCAAAATTGGCCAGAAGCTACCAAACTATGAAAGAAAGATATAAAGAATGTTCAGGCTTGTTTTGGTAGATACTTCACATGACATGTAGGCATTTTTTGTGACAAGATAAGTCACTATTTTCATCTTCACTGATCAAATATGACAACTTCAAATTCCTTTACAGTGGAGCAGTCATCATGATGCTTCTGAGGAATTATTAGATGTACTCCATCCAATCTTGAGCATTTCTGAGGACATACTGCTGGTGTATATTGGCTGTGTGAGGGACCTTTACTCACATGCAACCTCTCATTTTATACATCATTTGCTCCTTTTTATGCTCAGGGGTGTGTGTGTGTGTGTGTGTGTGTGTGTGTATAGTTGGTGCATTGCATCAATTTCTTTATATTCATACTTGATGGCAGTGGATCATATTGTAAATGCAGTCAGGGGGCGATGTGTCATTTGTTGGTGTAACAATGTGTTAGGTGACAACCTCCATTATCAGTTATGGCTTTTTGGCAGCAATTCTCTGTCAATAGTGGCAATATATACACATCAAAATCAGAGTTGGACTTAACTCATCCAAGAATCAATTTTGTTTATTGATGCAACAGATAAGGAGGTTGAACTTGTGCAATCCCCTTGGGAGTTGGTTCTACAGAGCAGTGGTTTGCAGGAAGAAGCTGTTAGTGCGGAACATGGAGGGGGATGTGGGTGGTTCACTACAATGCGAGTGGCATGGCAGGTGCTAGCCGTGACAGTTAAAGCTGGCAGAACCAAAGAATGTAGATCGCATGAGCACTTTCCATGAAAGTAGCAACAGAGCAGAGAAAGGCTTGCCACATCCTGCCTGTGAGATGGAGGTTGGAAAATAATTTGTCACCCATAAGGACTCAGAGACACTTTTGGATTATATAGAGAATGGAGAGTGAAGACTGGGCAGTTCCCACCTAAATACAACAACAGTGTTATATTCATATGTAAATCTCCACCATATAAATAGCAGTTGATACAACTGAAAGCTAAACAAGTCCTGAACAAAACCACTCCCCAGTAGAGAAAGAAGTCAATGTGATCATCAAAGTAATCTGGGAATGGAGACATACCAGAAGATGTGTTCCATTGGTGGATGATTCCTGGGAAAACTATGTTCAGTACAAGTACAGACATACTGTACAAAAAGTTGAGCTGATTTAGGCAAATCCTGATTACATTCTTGTCAAGTTAGCAAATGTAAAAAAAAGTACTGTTTCTCTATGCCACCCCGCTTCTGTTGGGGAGGGAATGACAATCTCTGAACCTGAGGCAGTTACAATAGTCTCAAATAGCCCTATACCGGATTTGGATGAAAATAACAAAATCAAAAGATATTGTACTACAATCAGGTTCCTTAACTTCCTTAAACCAAACAATTAAAAAAAAAAAATAAAAAAATGCAACCACACCCCACAATCCCCAAAGGTGCTTAAAGCATATCACCGAAAAACCTAAACATCTTGATATCGAACACAAAAAAAGTGAGGGAGAATGTTGTATTCATATGTAAATCTCCACCATATAAATAGCAGCCAACTGGAGGCTAAACCAGTCCTGACCTTGAAGACTAAACAACTAGAGAATAGTAGTACTTCTAGCTAATTATTGCTTATGACAAACAGTACTCTATTTTAGGCCTGATCTGGCTGGCTCTTCTAAGGGTAGAGGACAGCACAAGGAGTCAGATACTTACTAGAGTGGGTACAGGAAACCAACCATTTTTCATGATCTTTTGAGATGGATCTTATGTATGAATTCCACTTGAGGTCAGATGCGAGTTCAAGGCCCAATGCCTCCCTAAGGAAACACCCATTCATCGAGACTGGTGGTAGTTCAGGGTCCTGTCAATGATGATGGAATGTAACTATTTTTGTTTTCAAGGCACTGATTGTAACCAGGCAGTTTTCCCCCTGAGAAGCTAGTTCTAGATCAGATGAGAGATCAGCTGCCAATTTCTGATTATCAAGAGTTTTAGAGGTGCACCCATATATCATTGTATCATTTGCATAGATGTTCACAAATGATCTGAGTATATTCTTAGGCAGATCATTTATGTGAAGCAAAAAGAGGATTGGTCTAAGAAGTGACCTCTGGAGGATGCCTGCATTGACTGCCAGGGCCCAGATTACTGGCCATTAATAAGTGCCTTCAGAGACCTATCCGTTAGGAAGGACTTTATAATTGAGAAGACCCTTCCAGTGATTCCATAGCTAGAGAGCTTGAGCAGCAAACCTTTTTGCCACACCTTGTCAAAAGCCTTTGAAATATCTAATGCTATGGTCCTTGAGGTGTGTTTGTCATTAAGAGCCTCACTAATTTTGTGAGTAATGGTAGTTAGGACATCAGCAGTGGATTAGGCTGATCAAAACATATTGCTCATCTCTTACCCATGTTGTTGAAGACCAGGCATATGTTTGACACTTTCCACTGGTTTGGGAAGAATTTCTCCCTCAAACAGCATAACTTCAATAAACTCAAGGATAATTTCAGGTCGATATTCTGAAGGACACATGTTGAATATTGTTTGCTTGATGCACCAAAACAATGATCGTCCCATTCAGCTCCAGTAAAACTCCAGTAGGAAGAGAGCTTGCATCAATACACACCTCAAACAGCCATCTACCCAGACCATTTGCCACATGCAGAGTCATTCTAACAAGTCTTAGCTATGATATCCACCATCATATTGGAAACCTCACACTTCCAGGCATGTTTTACACATATTTTTTTAAAGTTTCTAACTGGCTGTAACTCCAACTGGTTCCTCAGATGTAGAGATGACATCTGAAAATCCAGTTGCAGTTGCTCTTTCTCAATCTAGTCAACTACAGACTGCACCAAATTCAAACTCATAGTTTATTTATCATTTCTCTATATGCCAAAATAAATTGTCAGAAAGAGAGCAAAAAAATCAAATTCACAAACATCAGATGAGTCTTGAATGTAAAAAAAAAAAAAAAAAATTCCATGAGCTGCTACCAGGCTCTCTTTGAAAATAAAACTAGAGAAAGAATTTGTTAATCCCTGGCTTTAGCAAATACTATGGGCAAGTGGACATTTGGTTCAGTAAGGCAAACTTTTTTTCTTCTCTAATTGAAATCTTTTAAAAGAAACACAAAAAGTTAAGCATAAAAAATTAAGTGATATGTGAAAAATTTTCAGCATACTTTGATTTGCTAATTGAGCGTTTCAGTTCTTTTTGTAATTGTTGAACACTCTCTTCAGCCTCCTTAAAGACTTTTGTGGTTTTCTCATGGTACTGCTCACTTTCTATTCTTTCTTTTTCAGCTTCATTCACCTTAAAAAGGAAAAAAAAAGTTATATATATATATATATATATTTATTACACACACACAGTAAAGATTAAAAAACAAAAACTGTTAAGATTATGACTAGAGTTTTCACATAAATAATTTTCAGCTGTTATTTGTAGCAAATATACTTCACCCAATAACACAAGATATACTTAGTTCAATAGTAATTTCATTTTTTTTTTTTTTTGAAAATGTTTGAGCAACAAACTTCACAATGCATAACATCTCCTGTAGGCACAGAATATATTCTACATATCCTACAATACAAGATGGTACCTTTTTCATCATATTTCACTTGATCATTAGGTCATTCTTATCTTGATCTCTAAACTAAGTATTTAGATAGTTTACTTCTTATATGATATCTTATATCAAATGAGGACTTTTGGTTATTATTGTTATACTTCTATGCTCCTTCAGTTGATCCCATGCCCCCAAAATGCCTCTACTGTTTGCTACTGCTTGATTAGCCATGTTAGGTATCAAGCACTTTCTGTCTATCTGTCCAACAGGCAATTGCTATTAATTGCAGTTACAGGAATGATTGATATTTACAGAAAGCAATTTTCATAACTTTTTTTTTATTTTGGATTACAGTAGTTTATTTTTAGGTTGAATAATTTGTACAACATACCAGTTACTAGAAGATGCTTATATCTCAAAGCAAGAAGCAGATGTAGGCATTGAATGAACAATTAAGGCTTAATTAATTTTAATCTATAATGCAAAATGTGAAATAGTTGAGACTGTGACATCTATCCCATAAAAAGGAGATGTAAACATTTGTTTATGTTTTTTGTTATGGATACACTTATTTAAGTAAATGCTGTTTTTTTTTTTAATTAAAACAATATTAATTACATTTACCGGCCTGAATGTAATTAATGCTGTTTAATTAAATTACACAGCAATTACTCAAATAAGTGTATCCATGGAAAAACTTATGAACAGAAAATATATTAAAACATGTCAGATTTTATATATATATATATATATATATATATATATATTTGTCATTGTTACCTTAATTCCAATAGTTGCCACCACACCAATGTAAAAAAAATCTAATCTACAGCCAATGCTTGCACATAAAATGCTTCTGTTCACAATGAACAACAAACACACAGGACACATTTGCAATCACTTTCTTAATACTCACTCACAATTACCAAAGAATCTATCACTAAAGCTTCCAAACATAACAGAAAGACTCTCCTCAACTATGAAACTTTAAGAATTCCAGAATGGTCTTATTTTAATCACAACATCCACAAACTTTCCAACACCTTAACTAAAGATTTCCAACATTTAAAACTAGACAGTACTATTAATAAATTATTTAGTGAACACCCCCCTATATGCAAGGTGACAGCCCCCACCCACCTCTTCAGACTTTTAACATCATCCAACATCTGTAAAACATCACCTCATTAAGGGAATGTCACCTGCAACAAACCCCAATGCTTGGTCTGCAAACACATCATCACTCATAATATTTACCCCACCTTTTATATATTTACACACTGCTATGTACACATATGTATGCATGTGCATCTGTATATTTGGCATTTTATTAAACAAAGATCGTAGTTACAAAATTCTAATCATAGTTCTAATCATAGAAAAACAATCCACGAACTTTTTTAATTTAAGCAAAAAGTTTGCACATCGAGGAATCAGGCAGATTTTTTGTTAGTAATAAATATTGATAAAAAAAAAATTTGTTGGTGAATTTCACTATTTAAATCATGGGAATGTTTTGTTATTTTGTTTTAAAAAAAAAAGATATAAAATGAAATAAAATGTATATAACAGAAATATATAAAAAAAAAAAGATAAATATTAGGTAGGCAGATTTTGACTTTTTTAAAATATCAGAAAAAATATCATGTGAAAATTTATAGACCAGTTAAGTACTGATACAAAAAAATTATCACTGATGATTTTGAAATGCTTTAGTTTTTTAAAAAAAAAAAAAATAAAAAAAAAAAAAAAAAAATAATTTCCTCATGAATTAAATTTAATAAAATTAGAAATTGAATACATTAAAAATTGATTTTTTTTGCCTCATGAATTAAGCAGTATGAATGAAAAAAAATACAAATGAAACAAAAACAAATATGAAAAAATAAAAGAATAGTTTAATAGGGCTTAATATATAGAGTCAAATAGCTCCATATATGAACCCTCAGATGAAATTGATGGTCCCAATTTCTGACACAAAGCTTTTGATATTATGTGCTGGTGCCTTGCTTCAAAGGCATACACAGATTGGGAAGCTTCTTTTGTTAACTTGACTGCCCGTTCCATGCCTTGAGAATGTGAGGGCAAATCTGGCAAATCAAGTTTCGTACCATTCAATAATTATTCCCGAAGTTCATTTTCAGAAAATTTTCTGTGAGTGGTGGTTCACAAACTCCACTTAATGACAGATCTTTTAACTGTCTCCAGTGCATAGCTTTAAAATTGATAGTTGTGATTCTTTTTAATTTTTTCTTGGTTTGCTCCCCACTCTTGAAAGAATATAAAATTAATTTGATTTATTTTTTTTAAAAAAATGCACTCTGTACTGCTTTAATATTTATGGTGAAATTAGATAAAATCTTAAAATGATTCCATAAATCGGTATAACTAATTTAGTCAATTTTATATGAATAAATATTTACTAACCTAATGGCCAAATTCTTTTTATAGTTTCTTCCCTCACTTCCAATTCATCAGATTTGACCATTGAATATAAGATATTTTCAGGCAGTAAAGGCAAAAGCATTGTATTGTATATTTTTCAATGTGATCTGTTGGATTTCATATGGTTGCTTTCTAATCCTTTTGAATCATATTGAAAATATACATTTGCTGATTGTGGAACTTGTTATTTCTTTTATTTTGGAACTGGCAAATGGCATACACATTCACAATAAAATTTATTAAACTGTGGAGTTTGGTTGAAATATTTCGTGGGTATGCACCATGAGTCCATAAGCACATCAGACTGATGCCTAAAGTTAACCACCTTGACTGGTTTAATGGACCAATTTTCCATGATGCAAATCTAAAGTCCACCTTACCTCTACAAATACCCACTGTATATTCATAAAGGAGTCTTTGGTCACAACTAAGGGTATCTGCATTTTCAATTTTAAAAATAGAATCCAGAGGACTGCCAACGGCTGAAAATGATATTTGGGGTAAATTGTGGTAATCATTTGTACGTAATCTTCCAAATGGACCATTGAATGTGGCAGGACTTTTTTGTGGTACTATCTATCTAAACAGAAGTTTAAAAATAAGATGAAGCTTTCTAGATGGAAGTTTATTTTCACAGCCTGAATTGGCATTAGTGTTTGTCAACAAGGATAGCCTTGATAGTGCTTTTGAATTCATTCAAAACATAGCCACTTGCTCGGCAAGAACCAAACAATTGCACCAATATTAGGAAGAGCCTTAGAATATTCACTTTCATATGTGTTTGTCAACAGGATAGCCTTCTGATCTCTTGGTTTTTTTTTCAGTCTTCTCCATTTTCCTCCACTATTTCCTTGTTGAAGTGTGTCTTTGTCATTCTCCCATCAAAATATTTTCCACCTTTTCATCATGCTTTGATGGGCATTTGTTTTCACTTTTGCTCTATCAATTTTACATTTATCTATATAAATATCTTTTATATTAATATTGGGGATAAGAAAGCCCATAGCCCTCAAATCCAAGAGCAATGCATTTGCAAGGCTGGCTCCAAGATTGTAAGATACATCACCCTGATCAACTCAACAGCATACCGTGGAATTTTGATAAGGCTAGCCGCTATATAGCCTTATCAAAATTTCACGGTATGCTAAACCCTTTGGGATGTTTTTTTTCTGCCATTTTTATTAAAATATCTGACAAAGAAAATATATGTATTATCAGAAATTATACAAAAATATTTTTCAAAATAAATTGGAAAATAAAGTTTGAAATGCATTATTAAATTAAAAAAATGTGTTTATACATAAAAGTAGAGTTAATTCCGGGATTAGCTTGTAAACAGGCTTTTTAATAAAACATTAATTTTCAAAATATAAACAAATTACAATAATTATAAAAGTTGTATTTTTTTAAATAGTTAAGTATATTTTGATGAAAAATAAAATAGATATTTGAGCTAGTTAAAAGCGTAAACAAAAATAAAATGAACATACAAAAGGAGGTAATTACTAGCGGTAAATACCGAAAAAAATATCCAGTAAAAACGACACCGTTCATGAGTAGTTATTTGTATTTTAAACTAAATATTTTTAGTGTGTTTTATTTTTTATTTGTAGTAATTTCATTTAATAAAAGAATAGATAATAAACTCAAAAATATCCATTACTAAGCGTTATTTTCTTTTTGTTAAGTTTCGGTTTTAATTTAACATACACATGTCTCCGGTGACACCATTATGATAAAAATCGCAATTTATTTTGTCTTTAAGTTCGATTGCTCAAATAAATACGAAGTTTTGAAGAAAAATATTTTTGTGGTAATTTTTGACGTTATTTTGCAACTTTCCTCGAGTTATTCTTTTTACAGTTCCAAAATCGACCTACCCTAATATATATATAAATATTCGTGTTAATTTATGTTTAATAATAAACAAAAATCAAATAAAACCGGTTGGATATTTTGTAAATTTAGGTATTAAAGCCTATTCAAGTTTAAATTTTAATAAGAATGGGAAAGGCATGAATCTATCTCTATTTTCCCTACCTACGTTATTATAAACTAAAAAGATTCAAATTTTAACATCATTAAGAAACATGGACTTAGGTTGTATCTAAAAAATGTGGTATAACGATATATTTTCAATTTTAGTTTTCTCGACAATTCCATAGTTTTATTTAATCGAACAGAAAAAAAAAATCTTCAATATACCGATAGATTTTCATTAAAATATTTTTACTTCCTCAGGTGCGATAAAAAATTTTGTGAAGAATGACTCAGAATGATCTCTTATCTTTCAATTTTAATTAAAATCTCAATATTGATTATGAGGCGGTTTTTTTAGCAGAGAACTAGACATAAATTACTTAAATTCTTACCAAAAAAAACTGTCTAATGTATGACAAACGCTCCAAGAATGAATATAAAGGTCGATCAATCTTGATCCAAATGTTTCTTTAAGAATACGACGAGTTTCACTAAAACTGTTGATTTCCCAAGTTGGTGTTTATCATCTATATAAGTAAACCTGTTATTTAA